CTACACGTGGTTCCGCATTCTTGTAAGTGGCGAATTATTTCCCACTCTTTCTCAGAGACAAGATGTCGCACGCCTCTCGCTGGCACTATCGCCATTTACCTGGAGAGTGCTCAGATGAACTACGCTCCTTAGTTCCACCAGTTCCAACCTTCACGGCCAAGATACAACATGCCACGCCCATTGTAGCGAACCACCGCCCTAATTCTCTTCGTATTGCTTTCGTGAGATGCAAGTTCAACTCGAGCAGCGTCTTCCCAGTAATCGTTGCCTTGTGGAACCGACTCCCAAGAGGATGCTTCCATGTAATCTTAACCTGTACAAGTCTCGGGTTAACCGATATGTTCAACATATACCCGCATAAGCTGTGTCTCTTAATCTGTAGTCCTCTACCTCGATTGGCTCTCGGGCCTTCTACAATGTGAACATCATTGTAAAAAAAAAAAAATAGCTGAAAAAAATCTACTTTTTGTAACAGTTTTTTTTTTTGACGAAGCCCCTTTTGCTTTCTAAGTTTTCCCTGAACCTTTGCAGATTTTATTATATATATATATATATATATATATATATATATATATATATATATATATATATATATATATGAAGAAAAATAATACGGAAAAAAACAAAAAAAAATCCTTATATACGATTATGCTGATTTAATGTTAATATGTCAACGTCTGACGTTTCGGTCTAATAAACCATCTTCAGGACATATTCATAAATATAGCATTATCAATACAACATGACAAAAGACGATGTACATTAGAACAAGACTTATCAAACAATAATAAAATATATATATATATATATATATATATATATATATATATAAAAAATATATATATATATATATATATATATATATATATATATATATATATATATATATAAAAGGCTTAAACACTAATATTAATGTTTGCCTTTTATTATATCTCTTACTCTGTCCTGGGGACATTGAGTTCTACCTGATTCCATCCTCTTGGATTTATTTTTTATACAAATATATATGTATGTGTATGTATGTATGTATGTATATATATCTATAAATATTTTAGATATATGATTGCATATGTATGTATATTTACCACTAATATTATCTATATATATATATATATATATATATATATATATGTGTGTGTGTGTGTGTGTGTGTGTGTGTGTGTGTGTGTGTGTGATGAAATGTTAATAATCCCATATCCCTACAAACGCAAGAGACCTTAACATCCGGAGATCAAGGGTTTTCAGGTGTTTGTAAAGTAGCTTCTTACCGTTCACCCTACAAAACAAATACAAACTTATTTCAGTAAATACACGGACACAGATGTAATAATTATTACGTATCCTGTACACAAACGCCTCCTTTCCCTTTCTCTCTCTCTCTCTCACACACACACACACACACGCATGCACGCACGCACAAACTCCCCCCAACCATATCCCCCCCCACACACACACCATGCAGGTACCATTAGATCAATCATAAATAAGTAGTTTGAGCGGCAATATCTGCAGGCATGATTAGTAAAAATAAATGAAATGTAAGTAAAAAAAAAAAATAATGATATCGGATGGGGGAGGCGGTAGTTGAAACAGACGAAGAAAAGGCGGGAAAAATATAAGACAGTCTGGTAGGAGGCAGACCAAGAGAAAGTGTAAAATGATCAAGACAAGAGAGAGGGAAATAAATGAAATTGGAGAAGGAGAGGAAGAGGAATAGGTGGAGGAAGAAGAAATTAAAAGGAGAGAAAAAAAAGAAAGAAATAATAATAATAATAATAATTACTTGACATAGAGTACAAAATAAAGTGGGACCTAAAAATGTACTCTTTGACATCCCACTCAAAAGTTAATATTATTCTCAGCAATTTGCCATCGAATAACTGCTCATGCCAAAACGGTTCCAGGAGAGAAGTGTACCTAATTCTTCAAATGGTAAGCGAATAAAATGTGAAAAAACATGTAACTTAAAACGCATGAAAACAAGAACAACAACAACAACAACAACAACAACAACAATAATAATAATAATAATAATAATAATAATAATAATAATCCGATTGAATGTTACGATGGGTATATTGGGATTCATATATTTGTATTCCAGCCTCATTTTTTTGTCGTGTTGCTTTCTCAAATAATAATAATAATTATTATTATTCCTGCGTATGACGATAAACTAAATTCGGCAGCAAAGCGTCCGATCGGGAGATTGGAGGTTTTGAGAAGCGTGGAACGACCTCTTAATTGCTGCTGTCCCCAGTTCCACCTAGTCCCAGGGTGGTAGCACCTGTTAAGGTCCCAGCTATGGACAAATAGTGAACCCTAAGGCAAAAATCAACTGTACTTTTCTTATAATAAAATCACCAACAATATATTTCTTCAAGCAAAATGACAGTCAATGCAACACTAAAAAAATATGATAATATATTTTATATAAAAAAGAATGTATAAACATAAAAAATGTCTTAAATAATTGTTGAACTTTGTCCATTTCATAATGTGTGACGTCATTTGTTTACATTTGATACGCCATGAGCAGATATGAATGTACGTGAGAGATTCATCGAAGATTAAAGTTTAAAGACAGTAAATTCGACCTTGCTACCCGAACGTTCCTCTGTGGCCAAATCGGTTAAAGGCGCGTCAGGACTATATGACGGTCCCGTATAGGATACATGTTCGATTCCTGTCGGAGGACTAATATTTTCTATGTTTTTAATACTGTTTATTATAAAAAAGAGCATATAGTTTAATATTTGTATCTATAAAAAGAATGTATAAACATAAAAAATGTCTTAAATAATTGTCGGACTTTGTCCATTTCATAATGTGTGACGTCATTTGTTTACATTTGGATACGCATTGAGCTGATATGAATGAATGAGAGAAAATCATGGAGAATTGTGTTTAAATACAGTAAAATCGACCTTACTAACCGAACGTTCCTCTGTGACCCAATCGGTTAAGGCACGTCAGGCTATATGACGGTTCCGTATAGGATACAGGTTCGATCCCTGTCGGAGGACGCATATTTTCTATGACAATTTCTCAGACATTCAGGCTGGTAAATGTTGTTAATACTATTTATTATAAACAGAGCATTTACTTAAATATTTTTATCTATAAAAAAAGAATGTATAAACATAAAAATGTCTTAAAAGTAAAGTATATAGAAAAGAACAATGGAACAAAGTGTATTGGGGGAGAGAAAATATATTTAAATGGTAATTAGTTGGCGGCCTACGACAAAGTCCTTCTGTTTACATAGAGAAGACATTAATGATAGAATATAGATGGCCTCCAACACCTTTAGGTGGCAATTAGAGTGGGACCTGCTAAAGATGGTAAAAGCGTCCACACTAAAACTAACAGCACAATTTATAGTAAAAATACCAGCAATATATTTTTGAAAAAAAAAAAAAAATTACCAGCCACTCTCGACAAAAACTCTCTTTACAAAAATACGCCAATGAAACCTCATCTACAAACTGATATTCTATTCATACAAACCTATCCTAAAAATATTGTCGGCATTAAATAACCCATTGAGATTGATACGCTGTAAAACAAAATAAACCAAAGCAAATTATCAAATTGTGATCCAAAATATGACTTCAACAAAACTACAACAAAGAACAAACCTATTACCTCTTCTAGTAATTATGTATTTTTTAAAATCAATATCAAGCAAGGGGATAAAGCCATTAAGGTACAAGCGGTTACACGGTGTGAAAGAATCAGGGACAGAAACAATGATGATGAGCAGAAATCGAAGGGAGTAATCAGAAAAGTAGATAGCGACTGGCATTGGATTTTAATTTTTGCAGATTAAAGTTGGTTGGAAAGCATGGAGTATGAAGGGAGTTCCACAAGTGAGAAGTGCGAGAGAAGAAACTATTAGCATAGAACTTACAGCTACATCCAGCCAGCTGAAATGTAAATTGATGAGATATCGACTCCAGTCTAATGCTGCGCTTAAATTCAAAAAGGCTAGGTACGATAGCGAAGAGCTGATACGAACAATTACCATGAAGGTATTTATAGAAAATACATAGAGAGGCAACCTTATGGCAGTGGGATTGTAAATGAAGCCAAGCCGCCAGATCAGGACCAATAATATTGCTGATTCTTCTTTGGATTTTATCAAAGAGCTCAAGGTAAATAACAAGAGCACCGGACCATATGTAGCAGCAATATTCTAAGCATGGACGGATGGTAGACTTATAGATATGTAAGATAGATTCTGGAGAGAAAAAATATCTCACCCGCCAAAAGGGTTAGGGTTAGGGTTAGAACCCTAACCCTAACCGACTTTCTTAGCAGCTGACCTGGATTCAATATAGTTTTCCACTATATTTGTATGCACTATATTTTATATATACAAAAGCTGAGTACCATCTACCATGTATTCAGTTGCGAAAGCAGAATAACATATATCATATTTTTATTACTTACAATGTCCCCACAAAATTAAATTTCGGCATTAAGTGACCCATAAGTATTTGATATGCCCTTAAACAAACAAATCAATTAATCACACGATCAATCAATCAGACAATAATAAGAAGAAGAAGGCGCAAAAAACCTAAAATGAAAAAAAAACTAAAAGAAAAAAAAACAACAAAAGAAAATGCAATGGACCAAATGCAGAAACGATATCAAGATAAACCATTTTATGGTCAATAAGTTCACAATATTTCTGCCGCATTCTATATATATATATATATATATATATATATATATTGTTTACCTTTGCTCTACTTGGCGTATTGAACACTCTACGTTTTATCTTAGTTACTCGCTGGAACGTTGTACTGAAAATTTAAGACACTGGGCGATTTTTTTCGCCATGTTCGGATGTTCGTCGTTCTTGCGTTTTTTTTTTTTCAAATTTTTTCCCGGATACCAATTTGTTTTAATATACTGGCAAATGTGCCATCAGGGTTTTTATTCCAACCCCGAGTAATAACTTTTAAAAAAACGTTTCAGAAGTAACGGCGATGAACAAAACTGTTTTTTACCTTCTATTCTCCCCTTTTCCCTTTCTCTTTTTCTGTTGCCGTCTGGGGAATTCAAAATATTCCTTTCATTTTTTTTTTCCAGTTTCCGGGCTTCCCTCCTTTTCTGCGGCTTTCGGAAAAAAATATCCGATTTTGACACATCGAAAGGGTTTTTTTCCAAGACAACCAAGCCGCGGGTTTTCCAAACTCTTAACAAAAAATGGGATTGCGGGCCCACCCCACCTTTCCTTCCTTCAATTTTCATTTTTCCGTTTTTCGCTTTTCAAAAAACCCCTTTCACTCGTCGGCTTCAACCTTCTTTCGGGTACTGGTTTTTCGAAAGCCCAAAGGGCTTCCCCCTTCTTCCTTTCTTCAACCCTTTTTCTTTTCTTCTTCTTCTTCTCTTTCCTTTTTCTTCTTCTTCTTTTTCTTTTTTTTTCTTTTTTACCTTTTTTTATCACTTCGGCTCTTTTCTTTCCCTTCTTTTCTTTTTTTCTTTTCTTCGCTCTTTTCTTCTTCCCTTTTTTTCTTCCCTTTTTTTACCCTTCTTTTCTCTTTTTTCTCCTTACCCCTTTTTCTTTTGCTCTTTTCGTCGTTTTTTTCACCTTTCCCTTTTATCGTTCGTTTTCTTTTCACCCACCTTTTTTTTTCGTCTTTTCTTTTTTATTTTCTTTCCAAACTTCTTTCTTTTCCTTTTTTTTCCCTTCTCGACTCTTTTCGTCCCGTCTAACCCTTTTCTTTTCTTTTCTCGTCTTCTTTTTTCTTTTCCCAGCTTCCCCTTTCAATTTTTTTCCCTCATTTTTCTTCTTCTTTTTTTCTTTTTTTTTTCTTTTCTTTTCCTCTTCTCTTTGCCTTTTCTCTTTCCCCTTTTTTTTCTTATTTTCCCCTTTATGCCCCTTTTTTTTTTTCTCTTTTTCATCTTCTTTCCTCCTTCCCTTTTTTCCTTATCCTTTTGGTTTTTTCTTTTTCTTACCTTCTCTTTCCCTTTATTTTGTCTGTTTCAATTTCCTGCCCCCTTCTTTTATATGCCTTTGGTTTTCTTCTTTTACCCTTTCTTTCACCTTTTCGGGCCTTCTTCTTATTTTTTCACCTTTTTTGCTCGCTTTTCCCCCTTTCACTCTTTTTTTTTTCCTTTTTACCTTCTTCTTTACTTCTTCCCCTTTTTTTCTTTTTTTTTGCCTTTCGTCGTTTCTTTTACCTTCTTTTCATTGCTTTTGTCGTCGTTTCTTCTTACCTTCCCCTTTTTATCAGGGTCAATTTTTTCCCTCTTTTCCTTCCTTTTTTCCCTTCTTTTTTCCTCTGTTTTTTCCGTCTTTTCTTATTTTTTTTTTTTTGTCGCTTTTCTTTTTTTTCCCAAGCTTTTTTCGCTTTCTTATTCTTTTTCCCTTGCTTTTTTTTTTCCTTTCATTTCCTTCTTGGGGTGCTCCAAACCCTTTTTTAATCTTTTTTCCTTCTTCCTTTTAATTTTTCCCCTTTTTCCTTTTACTTTTAATTTTCCTCTTTTTCCCTTTTTCTTTTTTCCCTTCTTTTCCTTTATTTTTTTTTCCCTTTTTTTTTCCTTCCCTTTTATTTTTGTTTCTTTTTTATTTCCAGCCCCCCTTTTCCCCCTTCCTTTTCCTTCCTTCTTTTCTTTTTTTTAAAAAGTTTTTTTTAAAAATTTTCTTTTTCCTTTTTTCCCCCGTGTCTCTTTTTACCCTCCTTTTCACTGTTTTTCCCTTTTTTGTTTTTCACGTTTGTTTTTCATTTTTTAAGAAACCCCCTCCCGTTTTTTAAATTTTTTACAGCGGGGGAAAATTTTTTAAATTTTTTAAAAACCCCCTTGGGTTTTTGTGCCAAATTTTTAACAATTATTTTTTTGGGGGGGTTTTTGGGGCCGAAACCTTCAATTTTTTTCTATTTTGTTATTTTTAAAAAAAAAATTTTTTTTTGTTTGTTTATTTTAAAAATTTTTTTTCGGTTCCCCCTTGGGTTTTTCCCATTTTCAGGTTTTTTCCTTTTTTTTTAAATTTTCTTCAACCAGCCAAATTTCCCCCTTTTTTAATTTTTTTTTTGGGCCCTTCAAAATTTCCCTTTTTTCCTTTTTTTTCCTTTTTTCCATTTTATTTTTTGTTTTTTTAAATTTTTTTAAAACTTCTTTTTTAATTTTTATTTTATTTTTTTTTCTATTAAAGTTTTTTTTCATTTAATTTTTAACCCCCGTTGTAAATTTCTTCCCAAAATTTCCCCCCGAAATTACAAAAAGGGGTTTGCCCCATGTCAGAGTTTTGTAAAAGTTTAAAAGGTTGAAAACAACCGAGTAAATTAGATCCTTTAGGAAAGGGAAAATTTTTCCCCCTGTTTGGTTGGGGAGGGGAAGGTTTAAAGGGGAAGTAAAGAAAGAAATGGTAAATGGGGGGAAAAACCCCCGTTTACAAAATTACAAGAGTCCTTATTTTTCTATTTAAAAACAAAAAACCTTTTTCTGGAAAAATTAAATTAAAAAAAAAAAGACAAAATATTTGGGAAAATTTCGGATAATAACCCATAAAAGGGGTTTTTGTTCACAAGCAAAAAAGGGGCAAAACCAAAAACCCAAATAACCAACAAAACTTAACCCCCCTTTCCCCACTTTTAAATGGGCGTAACTTAAAATTTAGTTCTTTTTATTTTTAACCGGTTTTATTTGCTTTTTCCCCTTTTTTTTTAATTTATTTTCTTATAAAACCCAACACTTTAATATGGGGCCTTTTATGTTACAGGGAAACGCAAACCAAAAAAGGTTAATCCCGAATATAGGGTTTTAATTGTCCCTAAAAATAGGAATTTTTAGTATGTTTAAAATAAGGGACGACTGTTTGTTTTGGTTTATTTTAACAATAAAACATCCCTCATTTGAAAATTTTTTTAATCAAAAACACCCAAAGGGGGGGCAAATTTTTAAAAACTAACAAAAATTTGTTTGGTTTGGGGTTTTGTTTTAAAAAAAAAAACCCAACTGGGATTTCCCAAAAAGGCTTAGGTGGTCAAATTTGGGGGAATAAATAATTTCTTTGGGTTTTAAAAATTTTTTTTTTTATTCATTTTTTTTTTACACAACCTAAAGGGTTTTCCCAAATTTTTTGGGGTTTGTTTTAAAAAATAATTATCGGGTTTAATTTTTTTTTAAAAATTTTGTTTTTAAAGATAAAAAACCCTTTTTAATTTTTGGTTTTTTAAAAGCCGCAAATTGGAAAAAAATTTTATTAAAGAACAACTTTTTAATTTTTGGGTTTTTTTTGTTTTGGGGTATCAACCTAATGGATTTAGGAAAATTTTCCCGGAAATTCTTGTAAAAATTATTTTTGGTTTGTTTTTGGTTTATTTTTTTTTCCAATAATAAAAATATGAAAAATTTTTTATTGTGAAATTTTTTTAAAGTTTGAATAGAATTTTTTTGGGATTTTAAAAAACTATCGGGAAAAATTTTTTTTTTAAAAAAAACAAACATACAGACGGATAGATAAAATATAATAAATAGATAGATAGATAGATAGATAGATAGATAGATAGATAATAGATAAAGAAAAGAGATATTTACATTATTTACATTGTTTGGACTGCTGTCCTCATCTTGATTGTCATATTCACGGCGTTTCAAGATGTTCCGGCCGAAACGTCGTGAATATGACAATAAAGACGAAGACAACAGTCCGAACAATGTAAATAATGTAAATAATTACACGATCTCATCACAGACATATAAAACTGATGTAATTTGACAGATAGAAATTGTGATAGATTGCGGCGCTATATTGAATCTGATTTGCTACCTCTTCGTCACAGTTGGTATAACGTTTGACAGATAATCTAACTGTCCGGGTTTCAATTCTCGGTAGTGGATGCGCACTGCTGATGAGTTCCAAATATAGGACGAAACGGCGGTCCAGTGCTTTCTGCATTCTGTTGAGGTTTCTTTCAGACTCGATGAATTACTTAAATATATATATATATATGTGTGTGGAGAGAGAGAGAGAGAGAGAGAGAGAGAGAAAGAGGGAGAAAGCCAGATCAGACCTAAAATAGAGTACTGTTGCAATATATAGGCGGGAGCTACCCTGTCCCCACCTTCCACTCTTTATAAGGGTTCAAAAGCGTCTCCGAGTCATAGGAGAAGAATTATTTTCCACCCTCGAACCTCACTATCTCCCAGGTGTGATGTGGCGAGTCTCTCATTGCTCTATCACTACTTCCAAGGAAAGTGCTCGGAAGAGCTACATACCATGGTTCCACCAGGTCGAACCTTCACGGCTAGGACCCCGACGTGCCACTTACATTTTAGCAAACCACCCTCATTCCCTCCGTATTCCATCGGTGAGAAATAAGTTCCACTCGAGCAGCTTCTTCCGGTGAACCATTGCTCTTAACCTACAGAGCTACAATCTTAACCTGTTCAAGTCTAGACTCCTATCCATATAAACTACTCCTTAACGTAAACCTCTACATCGAGTGAAGACTTGTATCCACCCCGAGCCTTGTACAGGGTGAACTTTACAATAAAAAATAAAGAAAATGATATGCCGTTAAACAAACCAAACCAAACCAAGCCAAACCAAACCAAACCAAACCGAGTTATCGATGATTCATTTCCCGTTCGGACTGTGTTTAAAGCCTCTTCAGTAAATCACGTCATTAGACATGATTCAGGGTAACTCTCCCAGCTATGTCAAATATCAGTTCAGCTAACTTTACCATACTCTCGACAGTTCTTCGACAGAATCCCTTTGCTCTTTGAACTCTTCTAGTCAAGTACATGCTTTGTAACGCTGCCAGCTAGTTCGCGTGGGAAGTGTCAGAACCACTCCCACTTTCGTTTTTCATGCCTTGGCTGGGGAGGTGCTGATTAGGGCCCGTTACAGTGGAAGATACTGATATTATTCCGAAGGGAAAGTGCCTTGGTGTTCCAGGCATATTATAATAACTTACTATGGTTTCTTTCGTTTATCATTAGAACATGAATTCAACGGGAAAATAATATGATACAATGGCAGATAGATAGATAGAATCGGGCGATATTGATATGGGGACTAAGTAAATAAATTATATGAGTATACTAAGGAATATGTAAGATAAATAGAAAGATAGAAAAAATTGAGACACACACACACATATATATATATATAGAGAGAGAGAGAAAGGTATATATATATAAAGAGAGAGAGAGATACAAAGAGGTATATATGAATATAGTGATATATATATATATATATATATATATATATATATATATATATATATATATATATATATATATATATAGGTAACTATACTCGTTTCGAAAAACCTTCGAATTTTTGATTTGCTAATAATCAAATCAATCTCGAGTGAAAAAAAGGTTTTAAAAAAAGAAAGAGCTAGAAACATGAACTTCTGCCGACAAAAAAAAATCGCACAGATACAGGTCTGAAGCCCAAAGAAAAAAAACCGATACGAGTAACAACTAACTAACAAAAGAGCCTAATACAACCGTAGAGCAGACCAAGATAAACCTAGGGAGCCAGACAAACCTACCTAGGTTTTCACCTAAGCGGATCGTCAGGGAATGCTGGCTCCCTGACGATCCGCTTAGGTGAAACCTGGGTAGTGCTGTCTGGCTCCCTAGGTTTATCTATCTATCTATCTATCTATCTATCTATCTATCTATCTATCTATCTATCTATCTATATATATATATATGAAGAAATATAGTTTTAAGGTGTGCTATATTTATGGGATAAAATTGCTCAATATCAGAGATAGAGCGTATGTAAATATAAATATAAAAGTGAACATTGAAGTCAACACTCAGAAGCGACAGGCAGTTTCATGCCGGACGCAATCGTCAGGCCGCCTGACAATTGCGTCTAGCATGAAACAACCTGTCACCTCTGAGTGTTGACTTCAATGATCTATTTATATATATATATATATATATATATATATATATATATATATATAAATATATATGTATATATGTGTGTGTGTGCGTGGGGGTATACGTGTGCGTGCGTGTGTTAGATAAATACAAAGACTTTCATGCCATAATTGATGAGGTGTTGATTAGGTATCTCTCCGGAAAATCTTCTTAGGTCGCGTGATATTTAGAATTTGTTATAGGCACCTGTTGACAGCAACCTGCCTGTAATGGTTTTATTCCCTTTCAATGACTCAAATCAAACAAAGAGATTTGTCTTCCCGTTAGACAAGCCTATATATATATATATATATATATATATATATATATATAAACAGAGAAAAGATTAAAGGCAGATAAATAGATATCTACTCAGCTGGACAATACCTTAATTGATTTTACGACCCTTCAGGGCTTTAGAACTCTTCATTAGATAATTCTAGATAAAGAAAATTCGGATTGATAAAACACACAAACAGAATGATCTCATATCAGATTGATAATATTCACAGGGGCATAGATAGATAGATAGATAGATGAAGATAGATGAAGAAAAATTAATTATTTTTAATAATATGTAAAAATCTCACTTTCACCTGAAGACGGTTGGATGGAGACCAGACCAGATAAACACGTGTCGTGAAATTATGAATAAACAAAGTATAATAGGGCTTTGGATTTTTTCTCAATAAATCCACATTACAACCAAAAAGATTTAGATAGATGGATAGA